GATCTAGAAATTTTGTCTTAGTCTTAAGACATTTTTTATGGATTTCTACACAAGGAAGCCTTGTGGTTTGAAACAAGCTAAACCAGTTAGATGTGTGGTTTCTGTCTGTGGGGTTTGTTTGTTTTTTTTTCCTTGTTAAATTAACTTTCTGCTGAAAATCACAGTAAGCTAAGACTTGTAATAGTGTTTAACTTGAACTTTTCCCCTGTTTTCAAACCTTGATTTGACTTAATTAGCAAGAGCATCTGAGCAGTGTTGCGTGGGTTTCTATAACTCTTGATGGCACTGGTGGATGGAGAAGGGGAGAGCACTGACGTTTTCCACCACTATTTTGTCTGTCAGTCCCCCCCTCTCCTCACCCCTGTGTTCCTTCTTGGTGGTGCAGCTGTAACCAGACTGAACAGCCAACATCTGCATGGTGCAGTTCCTACCAAAGCTGCTGCTTGGCTGCAGTTTGCACTGCAGCTGCTTCCTGCCTCTCTCACTTCTCTCCCTCTGTCTCCCTTAGCTCTGCCAGCTGCCCTCTTTTCAAATGTTTCCTTCGTGCAACACAGGGCAACAGCTAGACTTGTTCTGTTGGCTAGATTAAAGTGGAGAACTTGTCACTGCATATCCTTATCTAATCTTGTGGTCAGCAGCACAGGATGATCACCTGCTCTGTCATCATCAGGCTCTGTGTTAGACAACTTAGTTTGACAGAGCCACACATGCACACCTGTACATATTTATATGCCTGCAGTCTGTTTGCACTCAGGTCACCTGCAGAACCTCACAGGGCTCCTACACACTCTGCATTTCCAGGAGGCAAATTTCTCATCTCCTTCAGTTAACTTTTGTTTCCAGAGGGAGGATCACTGCCCTCCTCTGCATAGATGATGAGGTGGCTTTTGTTCATCTTGGGGGTGGGCAACTAGATTCCACACAGGGTTGTTAGTGAAGCTTCACCTGACCTGTATCTTGATTTCTGCCAGACTTGTGCCTGCTTCTTTCCAAATTCAGTGCCACTGCTTGTAACAAGTGTTGGATTTATGGGTACAGGAAGACCTCTCATCTGAACACTGCTTAGTTGGGGTTATAGTGGGAGGTTTTGTTTCCGTTGGTTTTGCTTCTGTTCTGTAGCACTGAAGTGTCTTCCGCCCAGGTGTCAGTGGAAGAACAAGGGCAATCCTCTCTTTCTGGGGAACTGTCTCTCATGGTAACTGACAGGGGAGGATGCCATGTACTCCAACATCTATGTTGGCTTGTCAGCCAGGATTCCTGGGATTTAACTTCATGACAGTGATGTTCATTCATGTCCTGCTACTGTCCAATGCCTTCCATTTCTTTTTGTTTCAAAATTATTTGAGGTATTTTACCTCTGCTGAAATAAATATTCTACATGACTTGAGGAATTTTACACTTAATTCAGTTTCAGATCTAGCTGACATGTCTGAATCAAAATCATTTCACTTTAGGATGGTACTGGTATCCAAAGAGCAGCAGATAGAAGGTGCTTGTGCTCTGACCTTCCATTCCTGCTTGATTTGCTAAGTTTGATAGTGAGGAAGAGCTAGGAGGGGGTCCTCAACCCCTTGCCTGAGGACCAGAATACCAGCTCTGGAGCCTGGAATTCCAGCTCCCAGCTGCACTCTGGGAACAGCAGACATCATCAATGTTTTTAAATATTTACCTTGAACAAGAAAATTGCTGACTTGCTCTCAGCAAACAATGTTGAGCTATAAACAAACATGTGGTTTGTTTTATTCAGTCAGACAGTTATTCCTTGGTGGAAAGTGTTGAGCAAGGAGTGTCTACAAGGAGTAACAGACGTTATGAATGAGCCACTTCCTTTAGTTTCCTTAGAGTCAGTCACTTCCTGTGGTGGTCACTTACACTCTTAGTTGTAGAACTCTTTGTTCTAGAGAAGAAAGACTGTGTGTCCTTGTGTAAGTCTGCAGCGTTCACCAGTACTAAACTAATCTCAAGGAGCTGGATGTTACTGTTGCATTATTGTTGATTTGGGGAGCAAATGTGTAAATGGCTCTTCTCACTCAGTTTTGGGGTCTTTTTGCATAACTAACAGAGCATCATGCACGCTAACCTGAATGCTGATCAATCCTCCTAGCTAGTGGTTCTTAAGCTAGTGAACTTCTGTATAATTCAGGATGTGAAAATGTAACTTCACATTCTTGGGCTTTTCATATGCTCCCCCTTTAAGGCTGTGCAGTGACTAAAATATTAAGCATTCCACTTTGACTGGGAAGGAGTAGGTTTGGAGTTGAACTATCCTGACCTTCATGGCTTCTGTATGACCTTCTGATTTCCAGAGTTTAGTATCTTGATTTGAGTGCTACTAAAACTCATTTCTGTTCCATCTAAAATCTGAGAACAGTAAAGGCCTAGAAGTAAGCATTCAGATCAGCCCAAAGCAGTATTTGCTACAAATGAAACATCTGTCCTCTCCCTCTGTCTGGATCATGATAGGTTGTATTACAGTATCTTCAGTATATTATCTTAATACTGTGTTTTACCTCTGTAGTATTACTTTGTGTATAACTGCAGCAGTGCATCCTGTTGATAAAGATGGGTTCTTCACAGCAGTTAACTATAAGAGTGAGTCCAATTGTGAAATTCCTTGGATTTTTTTTTTCCTAAATAAACAATATAATTCATAACAGGGCTGTTTCTGGATCTCTACAGTGACGTGGCCCTCCTTCAGAGTGAGCTTTACAGTTGTCTTATGGCTACAGCTGGTACTTTCCATAGTAGATGATGATTTGTTTGAAAACTCTTAATGAAGACAAGTGGAGGATTTGTGGATAGGTATCTAAAAAGATTTGGCAGCTTGAGATGTCTCACAGAAATAAGATGCTCCTGAATTGATGACTTGGGGGAAGAATAAAAATCTTATCTAATACATTATCTGTCACAGAGTCTCATCAAAATGAAGGTGTGACATACTACCTCTATCTGAATATTTTCTTAAAATTGTATTAAACATGTTAATTTTTAATGTGTCACAGAAACCTCTTTTTATCTGAGGAGCAGTAACTGACTTGCTCTTGTGTTTCCATACACTAATTTGATATTGCCATATTGGGAGCTCCCTTCACAGAATCACAGACCAGTTTGGGTTGGAAGAGACCTTAAAGACCATCTAGTTACACCCCCCCTGCATGGGCAGGGACACCTCCCACCAGACCAGGTTGCTCAGAGCCCCATCCAACCTGCCCTTCAACACTTCCAGGGATGGGGCAGCCTGGTACATGTGCTTCTTCTATCTGTGGCTGTTTCTCCTTTCTTCCCTGCAATATTAAGTGTGTACTTAGTTTGTCCTAAACTAATAAATCCAAATATGCACTTGACTTCTTCCAAATGAGAGCTCAGCACCTCCAAGACCTTTCTATAAGCATCAGATACAGATGGTCTAGTGGGAGGTGTCCCTGCCCATGCTGGAACTAGATGACCTTTAGGATCCCTTCCAACCCAAACCATTCCGTGATTCTATGATAAATAAGCTCTTCAGTGACTTTGTCTTAACACCTTACAAACTCATTTGCTTGCCTTGCCAGAATCTAACAGAACTGCAGTTTGCCTGCTGAATTGCACTGCTCCATGCTTTCGAGCAGTGTTCCTTTTTTTCTTGTGTGCTTCATAATCTCACAGCATGTGGATACACAGTGGAAATCTCACTGAGTTGGCTTTAACAGCTTTTAGAAGAGACCTTAAAGACCATCTAGTTACACCCCCCCTGCATGGGCAGGGACACCTCCCACCAGACCAGGTTGCTCAGAGCCCCATCCAACCTGCCCTTCAACACTTCCAGGGATGGGGCAGCCTGGTACATGTGCTTCTTCTATCTGTGGCTGTTTCTCCTTTCTTCCCTGCAATATTAAGTGTGTACTTAGTTTGTCCTAAACTAATAAATCCAAATATGCACTTGACTTCTTCCAAATGAGAGCTCAGCACCTCCAAGACCTTTCTATAAGCATCAGATACAGATGGTCTAGTGGGAGGTGTCCCTGCCCATGCTGGAACTAGATGACCTTTAGGATCCCTTCCAACCCAAACCATTCCGTGATTCTATGATAAATAAGCTCTTCAGTGACTTTGTCTTAACACCTTACAAACTCATTTGCTTGCCTTGCCAGAATCTAACAGAACTGCAGTTTGCCTGCTGAATCAGTAGCTCCATGCTTTCGAGCAGTGTTCCTTTTTTTCTTGTGTGCTTCATAATCTCACAGCATGTGGATACACAGTGGAAATCTCACTGAGTTGGCTTTAACAGCTTTTAGAAACACCGAGCTGAAACTTAAAATGCACTACTGGGCTGGAAACTTTCCCTGTTGCACAACATCTATTTGTGACTAAAAAGGTGGACTTCAAGGTTGACGTAACTGAATCCCACAGTAACAAGAAGAGTAAAATATTTGACTGACAGAAGCAGAAAAACCCTTCTCCCCATTGTCTCGAGTATCCAGGATTCATCTTTCAGCCCTAGGAAAGCTGGGATGTTTGTACAGCTAAAATTCCTTTGAGCCAAGCTGTACAAATCTTAGACACCTTAAATATCTTCAGCTAAGCTGGGTGAACACAGTCTAAAATAAAAGCCAGCGGGAGCAAACTTACGTGTAACAAACACTCATGTTCATGCTTTAAATATCAATCTGTTGGATTTAGAAGTTTGCTAGATAAAAGGAAATTATTTTAATTCCAAGGTCTTTCTGTAATTGTAAATTCTTGGTCTCTAGTTCTGTAAAAGCTTTTTATATTTTGCTTAAATGTACAAGGCTGCCCCATCCCTGGAAGTGTTGAAGGGCAGGCTGGATGGGGCTTGGAGCAACCTGGTCTGGTGGGAGGTGTCCCTGCCCATGCAGGGGGGTTGGATCTGGATGATCTTTAAGGTCCCTTCCAACCCAAACCAGTCTGGGATTCTGTGGTTTATAACATCATCAGTGTTAGATACTCGCAGTACCTAATGTCTCATCTGCTTTTTTTGTGTTTTGTCTTTGTTTTTCAAACAGGAAGATAAGCAGAATTTAACTGCACTTTAGGCCTTCACTCCTGATGGACTGGATTTTGTTGTGCCAGAGGTTTTTGACTCTTCACACAGTGAAAGAAGAAAAGAGCCAATGGCTTCAGAATCCATGGTTCCAGAGCAGGCAAAAGAACATCCGGTAAAGGGAAAAAGGCGGCAGCAGCAGCAGCCCAGGTCTTCCAGCAATGATGGTGAAGATGACAGCTTTGTATTTGAAGCAAATGAGGCTTGGAAGGATTTTCATAGCTCTCTTCTTCACTTCTTTGAAGCTGGAGAGCTCTGTGATGTTACACTGAAGGTGATAGTCACACATCCATTGTGTTTACCAGTCTGAAGGTTCAGCTACAGACAAGGGTGCTGAAGGTGGCTGTGATTTTGGGCAGGGGCATGGAAGCCACAGAATACCTGGTGCATCTGAGGCACCTCTAGATAGGCTTATGGGTTGCGTTTTTTTCATATTCAGGAAGTTTAGAACTTAAATGGAAACACTTAAGATACTGACAGTCCAAAAGAAGAAGTACATGACTTTCATGTCACCTAACTTGCTTTCTAAGCAAGCTCCCACAGTTGATCAGTGTCTTACTGTGCAGTTTCAGCTCCTTGTAGCCTCTTTGTCCTCACTTCAATGCCCAATTTTATCTCTGTTTTTGCATTCTTTGTTGCTCTGCTAGATCTTTCATGGCAAACAGGATTTCTGGAGCAGATCTAACCTCCAGCATTCTCAAAGAAAGTTTAAAAAAAAACAACCAAACCCAGACAATTATGTTCAAAGAGTAGAGGAGGAGGAAACCAGTTTTATGATTCTGGCATAGCATTGCTTTACTGCAGTCTTTGTATATTACTTACATCCTGATGACAACCAATTCATAGCTAGCAGCACTGGTTGTCAACACCTGCAAATACCAGGTATGGCTTAGTTAGACATGTTAGTAGTGCGAGATAATATATTTTTCTTAAATAATTAAGTGTGGCTCCTATACCAAGAACAGGTTGCAACAAATGCCCTTAGGATAAATGGTTTGCTTACCACTTTTACTATTAGATATTAACAGGGAAAAATCTAGCTCTTAGCTCTCAGAATATGATTGTATATATATGATAGTAGCTGGAAAGGAGCTCTGATGTCATGGGGAGTAGGATAATTTTGTGGCAAAACAGCTTCTAAAACTCTTTAATACTTTTAATAATCCCTGTAAGAGCTGTTATTACTGTGGTTTTACATTATTTTGCTTCTACAAACAGCATTATCAACTCAGCAGTAGTGAAAGCTCAGAGGTTTTCAATTAAGCAGTCTAATAATGTCACTTTACAATTCCTCCCTGCTTAAAGCATCTAAATACACATAAACCAAACAAGCCTAATAGTCTACTCCTGTCTCCAAGGTGCACCTAGAAGGTTCCTAAGGATGTTTCATATAAAAACTAGGACATGGCTGTTAAAGAAAAGCACATTCAGTGCATCAGTGCTATTACCATAAGGTGACAACTTGGGATGCATTGATCTAAAGTCAGAAATACAGGGCAGATGGAATAAGTTTGTTTGAACAAACTGCAGTAACTCAGTGCAGATCAGGTTCAGAATTCTTATGGTAGCTCAACTGCCCCTCCTTTCCCAGCTGCAGATGACATTCCAGTGAAAGCTTGGGGGTTTTGCTTCTTTATTTTCCAGGTTGGTTCAAAGCTTATCTCCTGCCACAAACTGGTGCTGGCCTGTGTCATCCCTTACTTTAGAGCCATGTTTCTGTCAGAGATGGCTGAAGCCAAGCAGACCTTGATCGAGATCAGGGACTTTGACGGCGACGCGATCGAGGACCTGGTGAAGTTCGTGTACTCCTCCCGCCTCACCCTGACAGTGGACAATGTCCAGCCTCTCCTGTATGCTGCTTGCATTCTCCAGGTGGAACTGGTGGCCAAGGCGTGCTGTGAATACATGAAGCTGCACTTCCATCCCTCCAACTGCCTGGCAGTCAGGGCGTTTGCAGAGAGCCACAACCGCATTGACCTGATGGCCATGGCTGACCAGTTTGCCTGCGAACACTTCGCCGAGGTGGTGGAGTGTGAGGACTTTGTCAGCGTGTCCCCCCAGCACCTCCATAAGCTCCTGTCCTCTAGCGACCTGAATATCGAGAACGAAAAACAAGTTTACAACGCTGCCATCAAGTGGCTGCTGGCCAACCCGCAGCATCACGCCACGTGGCTGGATGAAATACTGGCACAGGTAGGGCAGAGGGAGGCACCTTCCCTCCCTCCGGGCTGCTTTAGTTGGATAACCCACTTGGGTGGAGCTCAAGGTGTCTCAGTAGTCGGTGGCTCACCTGGTGTTCTCAGTTGTGAGCTGTCAGGGGAGGCAGGTTAGATCTCCAGCATCAGGAAGAAGTAGTCTTCTCCAGTTTCTGTGCTCACTGGTGGCTTGGGAGCCAAGAGAAAGGTGGATCTGTGTTAGAGCACAGACTTCTTAGATTTACACAGATAGGAGAACATAAAACCATCACTTCCCTTGGTTTGGTGTAACTGCAGCCTGGAATGCTCCCTTCCCTCACTGGTATTTGTATGTAAGAAAGGAGAGCAAAGGCTAGGAAAGTAGCCATGGAGATGGCTACTTAGTAATGGAGATGTCATATCAAGTCATGCTACATGTAGAATATTCAGTGTATTTAATTAACAAAAGAGCAAGCTGTCCAAAACCATTCAATGATTCTATGTGTTAGCCCAGCAAGCAGGCTAGGAAACCTAAGCTTGACCCTTGACTGCTCACTAGACAAGCACCGTTAGTCATATCTGTAGGATCTGAAAGGAGTTTGCAGTTTAATTATCTAGGCTTGAAGCAAGTCCACTGCTTCTGAAATAAATACATACAGCTTGCAAGAAGTCTCTCAGCTGGACAAGCTGAACTTCTTTGAACACCCACTGGACCTCTTCCTGCCAGTGTTAGGTACTTCTAGCTCCATCTGTGGTGGTTGTGGGAGTTTAAAATACAGTACTTGAGGCAGGTATGGCTCACCTGTGCTAGGGGAGGAGGGGGGAGCATGCCATGCACTGCAAAACATCCCATGCATCTTAGCAGGTATGATCAACTGGGCTGTTTCAGTTGTCACTGAACTCCAACCTGAATATTTTGCATTTGACAGAACTGCCAATACTTGTGTCATGTGAATAATGAAAGGTCCACTAACCTACTGTTGTCATTGTCTGCATGCCTCATTTTTCACATTTCCTGGTAAAAGATGACAACTCTGTCTTCCAGGAACCTCCTGTTTCACATAGACTAGCATGAGGTTATTGGTACAAACAGTATTATTTGAGATTTAAAAAAATAAATGGGATGTTTGTCCAGTTGAGTTAGCAGGTTAACAGCTTTATTCTATTCATGGACACCTGAGTCTAGAAAAAAGCAATGAAAAAAGTAAACTCCTTCCTGTAAATATGAGTTGTTTGCAAGACTGTATGGAGCCTTGATTTAGAAAACCAGGACTAGGCTTCTTAATATTTCTTGTCCACATCATAATCAGCCTTACAAGTTAAACTGTTATAATGAGGTCCTGAATTTGTTAGCTTTGAGTTCTTTCTCCAGCACTAACCTCATGAGTTGATTAGCAGGGCTATGGTGCTGCTCTTAATCAGCCTAACATAAGCCAAGCCAAACCAAAGCAAAGGAAGAAATGGGAGTAAAAGCAAGTGGCAATGAAGAACAAGTAGAGATGCTTGCCTGAAGAGAGGGACACTCAGCTGTAGAACAGCACCATCCTGCAGCTCTCAGGATAGTCTCTTTCACCATGACTGCTGAGCTGCTTGAGAGCACTGATACCAAAACTTGGGAAGTCAGAGGGTGGTTTTACTTCCCCTCCTGCTAATACCTTTCTGCCCGATTATACTCCATATTCCTCACTGTTTCCATCCCAAGGACAAATAGAAGGTTTGCTGAAAGAAATGGCTGTGAGGAGAAGGCAGTCTTGGCCAGGCTGACCTTGTTCCAGATGTGCCCCATCACCAGGGGTTGCTCTGGGCAGTGACTGCCTCTAGCCTCACCCAGAAGGAGCATTCCATTCCCTAGCCTGCTCACCAGCCCTCTTTGTGGAACCACAGGAAGGATTTGGGGAAGGAAACAATTTGCTCTCAACCTATTTTTCAGTTGATTTTTTTGTAATCCTTCCTCAACTCAGCCTGAGCCAAGGGACAATTATCCACTGCTGCTGAAGCGCCAATGGTTGTAAGCAAACATTTGTCACTCAAAAGAACTGTTCCTATTTCTGTTATGCTGGGGGAAAAAAAAAATCCCAAAACCAACTATGAAAGTCACTCTTTTCAAAAGGGAAGAGCATGGGGCTGGCAGCTGGCTCAGAAGCTGCCATCTGTTCTGTGTGTGTCACTGTGAATGGTGAGACTCAGTCAGTTCAGCCAGTTACTCCAACTGTCTTCATTTCTGTCAGGTGCTGCTGCCTCTCTTGCCCATTTGTTTCCTAATGGGTGTTGTGGCCAAGGAAGAGATTGTCAAGCAGAATCTAAAATGTAGGGATTTGCTGGATGAAGCAAGAAACTACCACCTTCACCTGAGCAGCAGGGCAGTGCCAGACTTTGAGTACTCCATTCGCACAACACCAAGGAAGCAGACTGCTGGTAATTAAATGTGTGTCTGATTATCCAGTAGGGAGTGGTGTGGAGAAAAGGTGGCACATGTGTGCAGTGTTAGGTAGCTTGGTATAAATGGTTGTTACTGACTTAATGCAGAATTGGGAAAGCCACTGTGTGCCTCACTGGTAATTAGGTCATGTGCTGTGTTTTCCTAGCAGGTAACTGTAGCAGTCATTTTCTGTCCTCAATGTGTTAATTATCCTGATTGGCTCTCTCTCTAGTAAATGTAGAACTGTTAAGTCTGTTATGTGGAGGCAGTACACTGAAAGCTAGACCAAAACCAATGGACACTTAGCTTCTGGTGTGAGAAGGTTCAGCTAACTTTTAAGCTCTTTGGCTAACCTATACCACAAGTGAGTGATGAATATTAGACTGCAATTCCTGATGTTTACGTTGTTATATGTAACAAGCTGATTAACTCCCTAAGCAAAAAAAAATAAAAAATCACAAGAAGTGTGTTTAAAATAGCCATTGTTTTTACAAGAGCAAAAGAGAGAGTTAATTGCCAGAGCAGCTTGCCAAGCAAAGGCCAAAATCCAGCATCCAGTTACACAGGGCAATGACTGTGCCCCTTGAAGACAAATGGGACTTTGGGATTCCATAATTTTCCATTCACTCTGCTTTGCAACTTGATCCCCCATCTTCCTGCTAGGGTTCTGGAAACCTCTTTTGTCTCCCTCAGGTGTGCTGTTCTGTGTGGGTGGCAGAGGTGGATCTGGGGACCCGTTTCGCAGCATTGAATGTTACTCTGTCAGCAAGAACAACTGGTTCTTTGGCCCTGAAATGAACAGCAGGAGAAGGCACGTGGGGGTGATCTCTGTGGGAGGTCAGTAATCCTATTCAGGCAACCCTATGCAAGAGGCACTTGTTTCCTCCTTGTGCTGGAATTGGTACTTTTGCTAGAAATAAATGTCTTGCAATGGCCTGTTGGATATTCTTCAGTTTAGAAAAGCTTCTTAGATGAAGCGTCTTGATTCTGAAACAATCTGAGAACATGCTTCTGGAAAAGACAGGACCGCAGGCTGAGAGAGCTGGGGTTGCACAGCCTGCAGGAGGCTCTGCGGAGACCTGCCTGCAGCCTTTCAATACCTAGAGGGGGCTTATAAGAAAGGTGGAACAGTCTTAAGCAGGGCCTGTTGCCCGTGACAAAGGATGATGGTTTTAAACTGAGAGTAGATTTAGACTAGTTATAAGGAAGATTTTTTTTTTTCCAATTAGGGTGATGAGACACTGGAACAGGCTGCCCAGAGAGGTGGTAGATGCCCTGGCCCAGGAAATGTTCAAGGGCAGGTTGGATGGGGCTGTGAGCAACCTAAGCTAGTGGGAGGTGTCCCTGCTCACTGCAAAGGAGGCTGGACTGAGTGACCTTTAAAGGTCCCTTCCAACCCAAACTATTCTATAGCCTCAAGTCTGAATAGGTGATTATTTTAATCCATGTAGAAAACATGGCCTTACATGGCAGAGTCAGGCAGAATTTGATAGTACCCATACCCTTCATACTTAGAGCAATACAGGCACAGCACTAAGACCATAACTCTCCCAAGAGCAGACCTATCTTAATTTCTGGCTCTCCCATCTTCAGAAACCAGGTCTGTGCAGTCCAGAGCAGTTTCTCACCCATGGTGCCATTTTTCTTTATACATGGCAGACCTTGTGTTGCTGCAGCAGAACAGGGACCTTTTTTGATGATCTTTGGTTGAGTACTGCATATAAAAATATAAAATGTATACTTATTAAAATCCTGATACTGGAAACATGTGAAAACTTTAACCTTTAAGCTTTTTATCTCCACATAAGCAGGGATGTTGCAGAAAGGAAAACCAAAATGCTGCCAAGCAATCTTGGTACTGAAATATGTGGATGTGTTTCAGGTAAAGTCTATGCAGTAGGTGGACATGATGGAAATGAACACTTGGGAAGCATGGAAGTATTTGATCCTCTCACAAACAAGTGGATGATGAAGGCATCAATGAACACAAAGAGGTATGTGTCCAAGTTTCAGTCCTAGTCTGTGATGTATCATTTCTTGCTGTTGCTGAAAAACATCATGTCTGTCCTGCTATTAGTTGGTTTTCCAAACTGCCATTTTTAGGACTTTTCTCCTCCTATTTTGGGATTTTATGCTGTCAAACACCCTTTTTTACTGTCTATAAAGCAAACAGAAATATCCATCACACACTGGCAGACATCACAAACATGCACAAAGATGCATGTATCTTACTAGTGCAAAACTACATAACCCACCTCTTTAAGGAGAGGCCCTGGACTTGCAACATTGGCTGTGTTTGTTTGGCTTTGTTGTCCCTCTTACCTTTTTGTTTTGGTGCTGTGGCTGGCTTCTGAAGTAGAGAGCTCTCCTACTCCAGCTGTGCTTACATTCTGACATCTAGGGCCTTTCTGTTATGCCCAACAAAGAATTTAAAACTGATTAACTGGTTATGTGGGGTTTTTTGCTCTTTTTTTGAGCATGGACAAGATGCAAGCCAGCAGAACATAACAGTGAGATCCTTCAAGGCCAGGAAGCCCTCAGCTGCCTGTGTGTTTGCCACAAAAGGCCAGAAGGCCTTTGCCAAAGGCATCTTTGCCACAAAAGGCCAGAAGCACTAAAACACTGGGAGTCAGACTGAGGACTTGTCTTGCCTTGTGACGTTTTAAGATTATTTTAAGGACCTACTGGACACATATCTAACTTTTTGTTTCTGCTGTCATTTAAGTCAACCTCCTTAATTCTCCATTCTGTTTGTCATTTGTTGTTTCTAAAAAGCATCATGTACAAGTTGAAGTAAGACATTGAGCACAGCCTAGTCCTAAAGCTGTTTGTATCTGTGACCTATCCAAGACCCAGACTTCTGGAAGTGGCTTCTTGCTCCTCTTCCTCCCTCCTGCCACTGTATTCTCAGCAAACACCAGCCCTAGATTTCTGTGATGTTTCTTACTCTGTGTTTTGGTAAATGACAAGGCTGCTGTGCCTTGGCTGCACCCCACTCCCCCCATGGATGGAGGTGCTGTCAGAACACTTGGTAGAGAAAAAACCTGCCACCATTGGTGGTGTCTGTGTCCTCTGCTGTGGCAATTGAAGATAAGCCCAGGATGTTACCACAATATCTGCTCTATAGAAAGATGGTGCCTCCCTTGCTCTTGCCTTGGGATTGGTGAACCTGCCCTCTGTGTAGTGAGACAGGAAGGTTCTTGGTGAAATGATGTGTCTCCTGTCTTGTTAGGTAAAGGAGAAAGTTAATGCTTACACTCTAGACCATACTTACTGATTGTACTCTCATATTGGTAGATACAGCAGAAAAAAATCTGGTAGATTTTTTAACACAGACTTAATAGAAAGTGAGAGAAAGGAAAAAATTGCGGTTAAACCTTGCTGAAGTTTCATAGTAACATCTGGCATGGGTTTGCCTTTCAATATAGGATCATAATTGTTTTGCCTGGAAAAGACCTGTAAGATCATCAAGTCCAACCCTTAACCCAGCACTACCAAGGCTATTGCTAAACCAGAGCCCTGAGCAGCACATCTAAAAAGCTTCAAGTGTCTCTCCAGGGATGCTGACTCCACCACTGCCCTGGACAAGCTGTTCCAGGGCCTCACAACCCTTGGCAAATAATTTTCTCCTCCCCTGGCCAGTTGGGTCACACTGCACTTGGTGGGTCTTTCCAATTCCCTTTTGTTAAGAATTTGCACTGAGAGATTGAGTGCACCCTCATCAGGTTTGCTGATGACACCAAGCTGTGTGGTGGGGTCAACAACTGGAGGGAAAGGTGACCATCCAGAGGGACCTTGACAGGCTTGAGGTGGGCCCATGTCAAGCTCAGAAAGTTCAAGTGCAAGATCCAGCACCTGGATCTGGGCAATCCCATAATTACAAATCTGGTGGAGAATGGCTTGAGAACTGCTGAGATGAGAAGGACCTGGGGGTGATGGCGGACGAGAAGCTCAACACGAGCCGGCACCGTGCGCTGGAGCCCAGAAACCAACCCTGTCCTGGGCTGCAGCAAGAGCAGCGTGGGCAGCAGGGCCAGGGAGGGGATTGTCCC